AAATATATGTATGGTGGGACGTTGGTACCGCGCACTGTCCAACAAGTGGCCGCACTTAAGTGAAGGAATAGTTGAAGTAGACCACGAAACGACTTGGGTCCTTTTTCGTCGTTCGATTCTCGGATATTGTTATTGATTAGAAGCTGGAGTGGCATCCGTTCGCAGCTCATTTAGTTTGAGGTTTCCTGCCAAGTCGTCACCAACCCAATGGTGTCCCAAGACAGTCTTCCTCCTATTTGCCAGTGTTGGATATTGGCACAATATATGCACCGCTGTCTCCTTTTCTTCTTGACATAGTCTGCAAGTGTCTTTCTCAGCAAGAGTTATCTTTTTGAGGTGATACTTAAAGTTGCCATGTCCAGTAATTAGTGAGGTCTGCCAGCTTAGGGTGCTCCGCGAATAGCTAAGCACCTTTATCGCTTCTCTGGCCCACGGTTTTGGTAACATGAGTTTGGTCTGTCTACAAGTGTTCAACTCTCTCCATCTATTAAGATGAATTGAGGTTATCCACTTATAGACATAGGCTGCCGTCATGCTATACCCCAATGGTATTCTGGGCTCCGGGCCACAGAAATTATGGCTTGATCCTTGCTTTGCAAGTTCATCTGCCTTCTCGTTTTGCTCAATACCGATGTGTCCTTTAACCCACATGATCGTCACCTCATTTCCATGAGCACATTCCATGAGCTTCGTTACACATTCTTGTACTAAGCTGTTGGCTATGTATGTCTTTTGCATGGTTTTGATAACTGCTTGTTGTCCAGCGCTATCAGAATCTTTTTCTGATACACCTGACAATTCAATAGGTGATCCAGAGCATGTGAGACCGTCATAAGTTCCGCTTGGTAGACGGAAACATATATTCCTAGATGTAGAGTGCACATTAGATTTAGCTCTTTCGAGTAAACCCCAGCACCAGCTCTGCCATCCATTAAGGAGCCATCGGTAAATATGCATATGTCATTCCTTTCACATTCATTATGTAGAAGGCCGTCTACTATCAGTGTTCTATATTTTTATTGTCTTTTGGGTGACTTTAGACCACCAGACAACTGACGCATATGTCATAATAGATCTGACCATCATGGTATAGATCCAGTGCATCGATTTTGGGGATATCCCCCATCGTCTTCCACACACTCTCTTACATTAAAATAGAGCTCTCTTCGCTTTCCTGATCTTTTCATCCACATGTTCATTCCAAGTCAGTTTATTATCTAGGACAACACCTAGATACTTCACCGACTTTGATATGCGAATGTTATTATCGAAAAGTTGTAAGGGCTCCATTGACTGACTTCTCTTCCTCGTGAAGAGGATAGTGTCTGATTTCGGGGCATTGATGGCCAGGCCTTGTTCTCTACACCATTTTTCGACGCATTTGAGAGCACCTCTCATTACGTTTCTAATGGTGTCTGGGAACTTGCCGTTCATCATCAGTGCTATATCGTCCGCATACCCAATTGTTTGTATGCCTTTGAAGTCAAGCTGTTGAAATAGAGAGTCTATGGTGACGTTCCACAGAAATGGTAAAAGCACCCCTCCCTGTGGGCAGCCTCTGACTGCTCTGCTTCTCAGTCTATGTCTTCCATTTTGTAGGTTTACTGTTCTTTGCCTTAGCATGAAATCTATCCATCCAATAATGAGTGAACCGACTTCTCGGTCAGCTAGAGCAGATTTTAATTTATCAAAGCTTACTTTGTCAAAGGCTCCTTCGATGTCCATCATGATGGCCATCGAAATGCAGGTCAATTCCCTATTGCAAGAGTGCTGGAAATATGCCATCCAACCCCGGTGACTTAAATGAAGCGAATGTCAAGATGGCATTCCTAACTGCATTTATGGTCACTGTCCGTTCTGCATCAAATCTTTCCTCTCTGTTTATTCCCTTTTTGGGAGAGGGCCAGTGATCATCTAATTTGAAACTTCCTGGAAAATGAGAGAACATGAAATTTCCTGGAAAATCTCCATGAGAGTACTCAATGACTCCCCTAAGGTCTCCGTCATTGTACCATCCTTCTTTCGGATTAATCCAAGTCTTGAGACCGGATCTTTGGTGACTATCTTTTGTAACCGACTTACTTCAGAGGTCCCCTTCATGCTCGATCAGAAATTCCGCCACGACTCCCGTTTCCGGTTGCGTAGTGCTTTCTTAAATTCACGCTTTTTAGCCTTATATAGATCCCATGATTCGGAGTTATTCTCCCTCATGTATTTATTAAAGGCTTTCCTTGTCTCCTTTTTTATTACATCAAGATCCTGACTCCACCAAGGTGTCGACGACTTTTCTGCAATGCTTGTTTGGGGACAAGCGTTTTCGAATGCATTAATCATCGCAGCAGTAATTGCTTTGACTTTTGTCTCTACATTCCATGTGGTCTTGAGTTTCCTCAGCGGCCTGTTTTATTATAATTCCTTCAACAACGTACTTGACGTTACCTGATCAGTATTCTCAGGAATTCTTACTAGCCTCTGACTATTAGTGCGTTTCGGACGACATAGTATTTCAAAGTGTATAGCCCGATGATCCGACATTGTTGGTCTATCAGCGACCCTCCATTTCTCAATTTTCTGTGTCATTGCGCCTGAGCACAGGGTTAAGTCAATAACTTCTGACCTTCGTGTGTCAACGAAAGTAGGTTCTAACCCCCTGTTTACAATCATCAGATTGTATTTTTCAAAAAACTCGAGGAGAGATTTCCCTCTGTTGTTACTATCGCTGCTACCCCACACAATGTTGTGTGCGTTCGCATCACATCCTATGACAATTTTTAGCCCTTTCGTCCTACAATACTCCATCAGTCTGATTACCTCCTGACTGGGAGGTGGTTCAGTAGAGTCGTATGGTAGATATGCTGACGCCACGATAAAGGTATTTGCATCACTCCGTACTCTTACCGTAGTAAGATCTGGTGAGCATAGATGAGGCAATTGGATGCATTGTATCTCCTTCCTCACCATTATGCATGTCCTTATTTTACCAGCTGCCTGTGCAAAGAACAGCGTGGCAACTGATGTACCAAGTCCCTTAATAGCCTTTTGAACAACCTTTGTGTTTTTCTGGTATGGGCCCACCCGCCGCCCTAACGGTCTACGCAGACCCGCTAGCCCCATACCAGAGGCGTTGTCTTCCTCGTCGTGCATTCTTTTAGAATTTCACTTTGGCTTGATCAAGACCACAGTTGAGCCTACCCCCTGCGATCTTAATCACCTCCGCATCTTCTTTCGGGCACCACACTGTGAGCCTGACGCCAGCACTGCTCGCTTCGCCAAACTTGTTGAAGTTAGTAACCCTCCACTTCGAACACAGCTGTTTTGCTTCTGCAGTCTGCTAAGAATACTTTCCTTGCCTACGGTAGAGTCGTACACAAAAATGAGTAATCTCCTTTCGTTGCGCAACGCTGTTAGCGTATCAGCCGTCAGCTTAGCGTCAGGCTAGCGTTGCTAACAAATCCTACTATGTCACCTATTCCGCCATCTAAGGACTCCACGGCGTTCAACAAAGATGCTTTAAAAGCACCTAAGTGTTTCTCGCCAAGAGGTCCTCCGATCTTGTGGCTTTTGGAGCCTTGTGCTTCTCTCTTCTTCGCTTCTGCTTTTTCCTCTTGTTCAGACGGATACGCTCGGCCAAGTCGAAATCAGTCTTTGTCATGTTTCCTACCGTTTTGGTTAAAGGCTCAGCCTCTTGCGGGGCTTCTTCGTTCACCATTTTGTTGGTCTCATGACCGTCATGCGTTGTGGTATCTGAAGCTAAGGCTATCAACTCGGCCTGTGAGGCCTCATTGTCCGCATTATCAGCGTCAACCACTTCGCCTTGTGTTGGTATAGTTAAAATTTTTTCGTCAATTTTGATTCCCACGAGTTGCGAAAGAGAAATATGTCCACCTGCGGAGAGCTTCGCATTGCACAGGTAAGGCTGTTTAAAACAGGGAGGTCGTCAGGTGTCCTGAGTTCGCTACTAAGACTGCTTCTACCCCAGCAGCCAAGTAACTGTTAACCCAATATCAACGTGTATATCATTTGTGTACAAGAATTTTACGCGGTCAATTTTTAAAAAAATTAAATTTAAGCAATCTTTTTTTTGGTATATATACCGGACAAGAGCAATTCGTGATCAAGAAAATTTAAAGTGATTTATTTAATATTAACTAAACCAAGTGATCCTGTAGTTTACTTCTTATTTAACCTTTGAAGATAATATTTATGTTAACAAACGCGCAGTCCATATACGTTTATGGGATCATTTCTTTCGCCATCGTAACTTTTACTTTAATGAATTGGGCAGTAATTATATTGATAAAAGGGACTTATCTGTGAATCCTTCGGTGGTGATATTATAGATGCTTGAGTGATAATCTGCTGTGATGTGGTTTGCATACTTCTGGTGACTAATGATTGTAGCTGATGCTGCTCAAACAATCTAATAACACTCAACAGAATTGAAAAGTACCCGATGCATCTTTAACTAACACCATTGCTGTTGCCAAAAGCACCACTGATTTTACCCGAGCAGAAGTTTCGTCTGGAACTAGTGCATTAGTGTGTACATGACTTAGAGGTGATATTGTTTGCTCACATAAAGGTTCCATATTAGATGATGCACCAGTATTATGTAAAAGTGAATGATGTCGTTTTTTGCACATTCGGCATGAATACGTTGATGGACAATGTGTGCTAATGTGATCTTTCCGGAGACAATTAAAGCATAGTTGGATTTGCTTCACCTGTTGACATCGATTTTCAACTGATAGAGCTAAAAAATTTGGACAATTAGTAATATAATGACCAGGTTTTAAACAATATACACAATGAATCTGACTTGTAGACTTTTGTTTCGTCATTAAGATGTGCTTGAAAGGTTTACGAACACTAGTATGCTGCAACTCTTGGTTGATTGTAGCCTTTGGCTTGGCCTTTGCTAGTACCATTAATTGTTGACATCGCCTGTCAAGCATCTTGCAACATTCCAGCCAAGTTGGTAGTTTCGTATAGTCGTGACATTAATTCCATTTACGTTTCGTCTCACTATCCACTTTCGTCATCACCAAGTGAATCATGATTGCATCACATATCTGTTCGTGTGATCCCAGTGACTTAAGCGAACTATATAAAGCCGAAACGTTGTCCACTAATTGGCGAAGTTGAGTCGAATCAGGTTTAATACATTGTGGTTCATCAAAAAGTGTTGCAATGCCTTCCAGAAATATGAGAGGATCATTGTCGTATCGCTCTTTGAGTCTTTGGAGAGCCTTCGGATAGTTGTCTTCCGTTATCTGGAACGCCTTTACTGTAGCTAACGCTTCGCCTTGAAGGCACGATAACAAATGGTTGAATTTTTCAGTTGATGTCAAGAGCGAATCACTATCTACAAGGTTTTGAAAAATATGTATAAAATTTTTGAATTCAAGATATTTGCCGTCAAACTTAGGCAACTTTAAATGTGGCAATCTGTTTGACGGCAGCTGCGGTAACGAGAAAGTTTGCTCATGGTAGCTTTGTCTCCTCCGTCCATCAACTAATGACAATATTAAACATTTTGTACTTACGTACAGCTCATCGATGTCAGAGCGCGCTGAATCTGTAGGACAATATCGCTCTATCTGATTCTGGTAGTAAGATACCTGCTTATAATATGCATCTAGCATCCCAAGTCTACACTCCAATTCCGTTGACGATAAAGTTTTGTTGTTCTCAACAATATTTTTAATTCGCGTTATACTGCCTTTTGTAGATGCTCGCTGCTGTTTTAATTCTTCTAATGAAGGCAGTGGCGGCAGAGAATTTGAAGCTGTAGTCGAATTGTTTTCGGCAGCGCTGCTCGCTGCTGCATTATTAGAATTTTGCATCACCGAAAGCAAATGCATCACCGAAAATAAAACAAAAAAAAACCAACTAATATTATGAAGGTTAATAACCTGAATGATTGTCAAGGTTATTGTAAAATTAAACAACTGTTGTTTATTTTTAAGTTTTAAACAATTTCTGATGTAAGAGACTATTAATATTAAGTTATTAATATTAATTGGAAACACCTTTAGTCTTTATTTATATCAAGTCTTTAATATAAATTGAATTTAATTTGAAACACTTTTAGTCGTCATTTATATCAAGTCTTTAATATAAATTGCATTTAATTTGTGTGAAACACTTTTAATATTTAATTTATCTTAAGTCTTTAAAATAAATTTAAGTTAATTTCAAACACTTGTTTCTAGGCACACTACGGTCGTGTTCTGTCACGGTCGCCAATGATCGAAAACTATTTAATTTAATAGTTTTTTCAGTTCTTTGATTTTATATAAAGACAGTAAAATCCAAACGCACCTTTTTTGTTGAGAGGTTCACAAACCACAGACTTTATTCTTAAAACATATTATTAACAATAGCAAAAAAAACAAAACAAATGGAAAGCTGCGGCTATTAAAAGCTTTTTTTTAGTTGTAAATAAATGTTAAATAATTGAAATTAAAATAAGTATAAGAGAACCCAGTTGACTTAACACTACGAATCGAAAAAAAAAACTATTTCATTACGTTTCTGTTAAATTTTGGCTTTACCAAAATTTCTGCATTTTAGACATTTTCTTTAAATTATTCTCTCATATATTTTATTCACATTAACTTCACGGAACTTAATACAGGGCACTGAATCTCGCTTGTCAACTGTGTATTTTGCACCAAAAACTAATTGTTGCAATTTTTTTAAGTTATTCTGCATAACAACCACAATTTATTTGTTAGTTAATTATTTTAATGCTTGCAGTTTAAACACAGCTTTTCCATCTGAATTTGCACTGCACTGGAACTTGCTTGATTTATTTGTAATTAATATTATTAATATTATTTGTAAATTTTATTAGTTATTTTGATTGACAACAAACAATTTGTTTATTAGTTATTTTATTTCAATATTTGCAGTTTAATCACAGCTTTTCCATCTGAATTTGCACTGCACTTGAACTTGCTTGATTTTTCCCCGAGTCAATTTGAACAGCGCGGTGATCCCGACATGTATCCACCAAGTTAGACGAGCGAGTACAGCCAAAACTTTTCTGCACTTTTGTGTCAGCTTCAAAAGTAACGTGTTTGCTGGTCACGTTTCGTAGTGTCAGCACATTCCACGTTCACGTTGTGTGGCCATTGCCTTCTGCATAGTCCCATCCTACCGCATCGTAACATGAGACTTAATACAAGGCTGTTCTTATTTATTTATTTACTGTCGGTCAAACCATTTTCCACACACCCTATTGGCATGTACCAACAACAACAAGCGCGAATTATATTTGATTAAACTTAAACAAAACTTAAGTTTAATGCTTACTTTATTAAATGAATCTTAAGACTAACTTATATCTAACAACTTTGCTTATATTTGCAGTGAGGATTCAAAGTATCGAATCCTGATAAGACAATTCGTTGTTTGGTTAGGCTGAACAACAATAATAATATTTTTAGTTACAATGTTTAGTTGAAGATAATAGAATATAATAAAGTATAATGTAGATCTTTCGTTGTTTGATTAGGTCGAACAACGATAATAAAATGTTTAGTAGGATGCAATGTAGATGTTTGACCTAATCAAACAACGATAATAAAATATTTAGTATAGGGACAAGATAAGAGAATGTAACTCCTCTACTCCTTGATTCGAAGTACTCCTGGATATCGTTATTATAAATGTATGTGAGAAGTAAGGAAAGAAAAAGAAAATTATACAATTCCATACTTTCTTTTAATTTGGTTTAGTTCGATTTCGTCGACCTTATTGTCTTGAATATTATTTACAATTCTTATTTGGTCTTTTCTTTTATAAAGATATAACACAATTATAATGATAAATACAATTATTATACCAAATGTAATACTAATTCCATAGGATACTTTTTTGTGAAAATACAATTCTTTTATTTCTTTTATATTTTCAAATTTTTCTAAATGAATATTTTCAAATTCTGGTATTTCTTGCGTTAATGAGTTACCCAATTGTAATTGATATTTTTCGTAGAATTCCATTTTTTGGTAATTATATTCAATGTTTGAAATTTTTATTTGACAGTTTGCAAAATTAATTAAATTATTTTTATTCAAAACTACTTTCCTTTTTGTACAATTTTGGGATAGGCTTAAATTTACAGCATTTTTTTTATTAATATAGAATCATCTTCAATAGGAATAACTTTTGTTACATTGTTTATTTTATATTGGCATGAGATAGAAAATATACAACTCTTACTTACTTCTAGTTCCTTGAGCAAGGTATTTTCTTTATAATTATAATATTTTCCGCTTATGTTTACTACTAATTCGTTTTTTCCTACAATTTCTAAATTAGATTTACATCTGTCGTTAGATAGTTTTTCGGAATTTTGATACAAATTATAATAAAGATTAATGTGAATTTAAGTATCTGTAAATTTAGAGGGTCTTTTAATGTTTGATGTGTGAACTAATTTTAGGATTCTGAACAACGACGTTCACTAACAAACTATAAGTTCCTTACCACTGGTGGGGGGAACAATATACGAATGCGGAGATATTGATTGTAACTCAATAACTGATTTTATTTACAATAAATTGGTCTTTTATACAAATTAAAATGCAATAATAATTGCAAGATATATAATTTTTACTTAAACTAATTTATTATTTAATTCGCACAGATTGCTTACTAAGCAACCTATGCGTGCGCTTAACTTATGACCTAATTCATACTATTTTGTTGATTCGTCAACCAAAAAATTAAGCAACAGGTGTGAGCGATTAACTCATGACCTAGTTGTTAGTTTTTTGTTGATTCGTCAACATTATGCCGTCTCTGAGTTGGTATTACAAACTGGTTTAGATTTGGTAACCTCAGCAGGTTGTTGATTAAGTACACGACCAAGCAACATCGTTTACGCCAAAAAGTGTTGTTAACACTGTTCCTAATATTCCTCGGGGACTTCTTGTAACTGATAATTCTGCCGTCAACAATCGATCAATGGTAGTTCTTAAGATGCGCCCTTCATGATTTAAATTGGAAACTAAATCGTCACATTGTATATAAGGATTGACAGCCTTTGACTTGGTACACAACATTGTCATTGTTTTATGGTGTTATTAACGTTCCTTTGATCTTGAATTTTGTCACGGATTGGAAATGTGATAGTGGTTCTTAGTGTTCCTCTTTGTATTTATGGTGTTATTAACGTTCCTTTGATCTTGAATTTTGTCACGGATTGGAAATGTGATAGTGGTTCTAAGTGTTCCTCTTTGTATTTTTGCTTTGCCTTATCCTTCAATGAATAATCCTGATTCGGGATATGTTAATGTGGGTGTTGCTAATGTAGTTCCTAATGTAAGGTATGCCAACAATATAGCAAGAACTGTCGATTTTGATTGCCTAGCCGATAACCATTGTCGTCGCGTTCTAGGATCTCCTACAGTAGAATTTGTCGGAACTACTTCTTTATTTCTGACAATGTTTCCCAATGGTAACATATTTTGAGTGTCTGAATCTGCTTTGGTTGATGTTGCTTCAAACCCATTACATTCTTTAACTGACTTTGGGAACTTCTCTTGATTTGACGGAATATGATCTTCTTTGACATTATCAGTGATTAGCAGAGAACATATTTTTTAGATCGTACGTTTTACTATCCCTTTTTTGGGTTTTAATTGTAGCAACTCGGGTTAAGCCATCTGTTCCTTTATGAACTTCTATGATTCTGCCTAGAGGCCACGTTGATTATATTAATGTTTCGTCCTTCAATAGAACTAGTTGACCAATTTCTAAGTTTGGTATCGGTTTTGTCCATTTGTATCTCTGTTGTTGAATGTTTCTTATGTAGTCTTGGAACCACCGTTTACAAAAGTCTTGCTTTATTTTCTGCACAATCTTCCATCTTTTTAGGCTGATTTCTGTAAAGTTAATAAGACTATCATGCGCTGGAGTCATCATAATACTGTTCAGTGATTGTCCTGATGTCGTTTTTGCGGACGCGTCAAGCACCACTCAAACTTTTGTTGTCGTGCTGTCTTCTTTAATAACTGAATGATGCGGCAAATAATATACCTTTGTCTTTGGTTTTTCATTAACTTCTTTCATGTGACCCAGCTTAATGTATTCTTGCATAAAGTTCACATACTCTTGCTTTAGTGCTGAATTCTTCTCAAGTCGTTCTTCTAGTGAAAAGAACCCTTTCAATGCCATTTTTCTGGACTCACCTAACGTTTCTCGATCATTTTTTAGCGGTAACCTAACGATGTAACGTTCTGTTTTATCGCGAATGCAAGTTGAATCATAATGTCTCTCACAACGCCTTTCTTCTACTGTTCTTGTTCTGCATTTGGAATTTCCTCTAATTCCCTAAACCGTTTTAAATACTCGTCGCTGTTGCCGCAAGCCATGGTGCACAACGTTATTTTGTTTGTGATTGTACGCTCTACATCTAAAGGTCCTGATAATATCCATCCAGTGTGTTTTAGTGTGTTCATAGTGTTTTAATAAGATTTGGTTTTATATGTTGTATTATAAATTTTTCCTAGCGCAGCGAGGCGGCTTTCTTGTTCGCAACGAGGCGAATAAAGCTATGTTGCAAATAGGCAACTTAAACAAATGATTAGTGAGACTCAATGTTCTGTTTGAATCTGAATTCTTTATTAAATTTGTACAGTATTTATACTTATTCTAACTTAAACACTAATCTACCTGAATATTATGTTCGCCTAGTAATTTTCATATAAAAATGCTTAATATGCATTTCAATTAATTTAAAAATATGAATATATTATTATTATTTAATAATTACCCGAAATACTAAATAATGAAATTCCAATGCAAGTTAATGCACTTTACGAATTTCATT